GAGTATCCGGATGGACTTAAAGCATAGCTACTAGTGAGAAAGTTTCCTCATAGTCAACTCCCTCCTTTTTGGTATAACTCTTAGTCACTAGCCTTGCTTTATAAGTCTCCACTTTTCCATCCACTCCTCTATTTCTCTTGAAGATCCACTTTCATCTTATGGGTTTTACCCCTTCGGGTTTTATTCCTTACCATAATCATCCATCGCATCCTTAAAGGTCGATGGATCCTCCTTACCATCATAAGCAGTGACGATCTTGCTGGGAATGGTGTCCTAGAAGCATGAGACGTGATAAGATATTTATTATTTATTTATTTATTTAATAAAATAGTTTATTCATTATTTTATGTGCATATATTTGTGAATCTTTTATGAATATCAAATGAAAATTTCGTTATTATTTATGTAACCTTAAACACTGTATATAAGTGATATATGCGAGAGGCAAATATTTAAGGATAATCAAAAAGAGATGTTCGTAATGAATTTAATTAAAGTTTGGAATCTTTAATTAAAACATTATTAATACATGTCATTCCCATTTAGAATGGAACGGTGTTGTCCGCACTGTTAATATAGTGAGCTATTGAATGAGTGTATTACGCATAATGAGATTATGTGGAACAGGGACACAGACACAATATGAATTTCTAATAATTTCTGTTAAGTATAGAAATTCTAATTGAGTTTACGGATGGTCATATACTGAATGATCTTAATCCTGAGTTCTTAACAAACTCCTATTTATGAATTTGTGTCTTTTGATTTACTCGGTATGGATTCTGAGACCCTAAATCCTATTCCTTGTATTTTGGAGACATGATGAAGTAGGTAGCCAGGAATGTTATTATACGAGATGGAATCCATCCTTCTTGAGAAAGAAGCAGATAAATAATTCTCTTGAGTGTTGATTCGGTACTTGGATTAGTAAGAGCGCTCTAGTTCATGAATGTGTTTTATGAATCACTATCCATTACAGAATCAATGGTTTTCAAAGATGAAGATATAATTAGAGAGGTTAACGGATTCTACCTAGCTCTAATTATGAATTATTTATGGAGGATTGATCTATATGCAGTACTATATCAAATGGACACTTCACAGTTTAGAAGTAATTTATGTCTATAATTTTAAGAGTGTAATTCTAAGTTTATAGTGGAGTAACTTTTGAAATTAATCAAATTAATTAATTAATTAAAGTATTTAATTAATTATTGATTTTATTGGAGCTCGGGATTATAGGTCCATTAGTCCCCGCATCGTCCTTGTACTTCTACCAGACACAAAGGGCACAATGAGAATTTTAAAATTATGGTATTCTAAAATTAAATACTCAAAAATAATTAATTGAGAATTAATTATTCTTTAAATAATGTGATTATTTAAATTTGAATTTGAACACATCTAGATTTATCCATTTAAACTTATTTGATAAGTTGTTCAATTTTAGAATTCAAATTAATTTAAGTTTGACTTAAATTCGAATTTGAAT